TGTTTTGTCTGATGTTCTGCCTGGTTCTCATGTACTGGGTGCGCAACCGTTTCCTTAGCCCGCCAGCGGGAAAGATATTCATTGGACCTGTATCTATTTGAAATCCCTTTATTATGCTTGCCCTAATTGTGTAGCCCCAGTTCTAACAAAGAACGTGTTTGAGTATGTCTTCAACGCTTTGAAATAAATTTTGCTTTTCTTGAAAACGTGGATTTATTCTCGATGCTTGGGGATCCAACAGCCGGTCTTTAAGGTGCATGGACCTGGAATTGTGTCCATGAAGAACAGCAAAAGACAAGCAATGTGAATCCTCTCTTTCTCATTGCTTGCTTTCGAAGATGAAGCCACAATGTGCTATTAGTGTCTTTGTGGGTATAAAGTGCTGAGTCATATCTGAGTCGACTTATGATAAGCCCAGCAAGGGGCATGCAAGGCAATTGATTAAGCAGAGGCAGTTAGCGGTTGCCTTCCCTGCATACACCTTCCTTTCGAGCTCTGGCCCCGCCTTTTCCAAAATCTGATGAGATTGGGATATATCAGTGTTCCCTCTAAGGTGAGTTAGTGTGAGCTAGCTCACAGTTTTTTAGCCTCTGGCTCACGCACGTTTGTCTTCGCTCAGGAAGGTTGGCTCCGGAGCAAACTAATTTATGTAGCAGCCAAATCGCTCGCTCACAACTTTAATGCCAGTAATTCACAAAGTAGGATTTTTTTTGCTAGCTTAGAGGGAGCATTGGCTACACTATACCATTCCACATCCCATTAATGTGTCTACTGTTCTTGCTGTTATTGTCATCAAGTCACAGCAGACGTATGGCGACCCCGTAGGGATTTCACGGCAAGAGTTGTGCAGAGGGGGTCTGCCACGCATCGATGATGAGTGCTGCAAAGGCTTTTGCACACACATCAACAATAACCAGGACGTTTAACCAGACCAGGTTTGTATGTATACTTTACTTTGAAACAAGCACATACAAAGTACTCAGTGTGGCTTTGGGCAGAGGGGGCAACTTCTTGAGAATCTCATGTTTAGAAAGCAGGTCTCGAGTCCTTGGGATTCGGGAAGATGTCCTTAACTGTGCACAGGTAGAAGCCTGGTGACCTGTCGGACACCTGGTAAGTTTCTGGATGAGATTTTCCAGAGAGTCAGAAAGGGGGATTTCAGGACCCCGCATCATTTCTCTGGAGGTTTTAAAGCATAAGAACATAAGAACATAAGAGAAGCCAATGTTGGATCAGGCCAGTGGCCCATCCAGTCCAACACTCTGTCACAGAGTGGCCAAAAATACCAGGTGCTATCAGGAGGTCCACCAGTGGGGCCAGGACACTAGGAGCCCTCCCACTATACCCCCCTCCAAGCCCCAAGATGACAGAGCATCACTTGCCCCAGAGCCCCTATCTATACCTGGTGGCTAATAGCCACTGATGGACGTCTGCTCCATATCCTTCTCTAATTCCCTTTTGAAGCCGTCCATGCTTGTAGCCGCCGCCACCTCCTGCGGCAGTGAATTCCATGTGTTAATCACTCTTTGGGCGAAGAAGAACTTCCTTTTATCCATTCTAACCCGACCGCTCAGCAATTTCATGGAGTGCCCACGAGTTCTTGTATTGTGAGAAAGGGAGAAAAGTACCTCTTTCTCTACCTGCTCTATCCCATGCATAATCTTATAAACCTCAATCATGTCACCCCTCAGCCGTCGTTTCTCCCCTTGGAGAAGATGGATGCTTTGGAAGATGGACTGTTTGGCATTATATCTCGTTGAAGCCTCTCCCCTCCCCTAGCAGAGTCTAGATGGTCATCTGACAGCAATGCTGAGCAGTGTTCTCTCTAAGCTGAGTCAGTGTGAGCCAGCTCGCAGTCATTTAGCCTCTGGCTCACATGTTTTTGTCTCAGCTCAGGAAGGAGGGCTCCAGAGCAAACTGATTTGTGCTGTAGCCAAATCACTCGCTCACAACTTTAATGCCAGTAGCTCACAAAGTAGAATTTTTGCTCACAAGACTCCACAGCTTAGGGGGAGCATTGATGCTGAGTCTGTGGATTTGGGCACATCATGAGAGGGAGGGCAGGAAGGGATGAGCCACTGGTTGGCTCTCTTGGCCCTTTCTTACATGCCCAGGGTAACGCCAATCACCACTTCGGGGTCAGGAAGGACGTTTTCTCCAGGCCAGATTGGCCGAGGGATTCTGGAGGCTTTTTGCCTTCCTGAGCAGGGGTCACTGGGGAAAGGGGGGGGAGGTAGTTTTGAATTCCCTGTATTGTGTTGGGGGTCAGACTAGATGACCCTTGAGGTCCCTCGCACCGCTACGTCTCTGCCCGCACCCTTGCCTAGTGAAAACAGAGCACGTGATGCAAATCAAGTCCCAATTAGGGAACGAATTATGCAAAAAGAAGAGAAAACATGCACCTGTGCTTAATTTGTACAGTTCACGCACGAGCATCGCAAAATTCAGCTTTTCCCGGCCAAGTATTTCGCTCTCTTCGAATGCAGATAAAACCCACTCCTTTGCCTAGGACCCCAAGAGTCATTCCATGCATGATGAAGCAACTGTCCCAGTTTTGCACCGAACACACACTAAAAAAAACTGATGCCACCAGACTAGCCGGGCACTCTCCCAAATACATCAGTATGAACCACCTGGACATCCCATACACCCTTTGCCTCGTTTTAGGTGTCTGCTTAAAAACACCAAGGGGTGTCCCCAGGGGCAGATGAGACCAATGAAGCTTAAGCTTTGGGGCCCCTAATCCTGGAGGGATCCTGAAGCAACCTTTTCTTTCTTTTTTTTAAATGAACACATTTTCCAACAAAACAGATGGAGTTTTTAAAGCCTGTTTTAGCGACAGAATCATAAGCCAACGGGTTGAAGCACTTAATATTGACCTTAGAATATGCTCGAATATCCGTTTCATATGGCCTCAAAATGTCCCTGTGATGGGTCAAATCTCAAAATTTCCTCGGGGGGTTGCAGCACCCACAACCCCCCAGCTCTATGGGCTCACTGAGCTGGCCAGAATCGATTCATAGCCTACATCTGGGCAGCTGAATCCTCAAATCCTTCATTGGCAACCGGCTTAATAGTTCTACTGCTCAGCCCTTGGCCAATCGGCACCATAAAAAGACATCTGACTTCTCAAGTCAGCCCCTTTGGACCCTTGCTGGAGGTTGCCCTATCGTGGCTGGCCAAGAAGGGCCCCCCATAACTGTTCAAACTTCAGGGTCCCTAAGATATAAGTCTGCCACTGGGGCCGAGTCCACATCTGGCAGTCACTCCACATTTTCTCAACACCAAGGAAAAGGTGCCGCTTGAAACCACATTCAAATACCCTGGGGGGAAACATAGTGACTGGGAAGTCACCCCGGAAAAGCGATAGATCTACACAGAAGGGACCATAAAACCCACAAAAGCCGACGGTCAAAGGAAGTGAAAGCAGCAACCAATGCAGAGGGGGGATTTCTGTTCCATGCGGCGTTCCCTCTAAGCCGAGTTAGTGTGAGCTAGGTCACCGCTTTTTAGCCTCCAGCGCACACTTTTTTTGGGTCTTAGCTCAGGAAGGGATGGCTCTAGAGCAAACTAATTGATGCAGCAGTCCAATCGCTGGCTCACAACTTTAGTGCCAGTCCCTCACAAAGTGGAATTGTTGCCCACAAGACTCCACAGCTTAGAGGAAGCACTGGTTCCAAGCAACGTTCTCTCTAAGCTGTGGAGTCTTGTGAGCAAAAATTCTACTTTGACAGCGACTGGCGCTAAAGTTGCGAGCGAGCGATTGGGCCGCTGCATAAATCAGACCGATTTCCCACCAGCGCTGCTCCAGGCTCGCTCTTCCCTTTTTGCCCCGATGGTGTGTCAATTTCACACAAGCTGCTCGGTGGCCGCATTTTGCCCCGGAGCTTCCCGGGATTTTCAGCGCCTCTACTCAATCCTCAAAAAACAAGATTGAGTAGATGGAGGAAAATCACGGAAGCTGAGGGGCAAAATGCGGCAGCGGCAGCTTGTGTGAAATTGACACCTACCATCGGGGCAAAAGGGAAGAGCGAGCCTGGAGCAGCGCTGGTGGGAAACCGGGGTCTCCGTTTGCTCTGGAGCCCTCCTTCCTGAGCGAAGGCAAAAGAAATGTGTGAGCCGGAGCAGTGTTCCCTCTAAGCTGAGTTAGTGTGAGCTAGCTCACCGTTTTTGAGCCCCCGGCTCACACATCATTGTCTCAGCTCAGGAAGGGATGGCTCCAGAGCAAACGAATTTATGCAGCAGCCAAATCGCTCGCTCACAACCAATGTTCCCTCTAAGCTGTGGAGTCTTGTGAGCAAAAAATTCTACTTTGTGAGCTACTGGCATTAAAGTTGTGAGCGAGCTGTTTGGCTACTGCATACATTAGTTTGCTTTGGAGCCCTCCTCCCTGAGCTTAGACCAAAATGTGTGAGCCGGAGGCTAAAATACTGTGAGCTAGCTCACACTAACTCAGCTTAGAGGGAACACTGCTCACAACTTTAATGCCGGCAGCCCACAAAGTAGAATTTTTGCTCAGAAGACTCCACAGTTTAGAGGGAACATTGAGCCGGAGACCAAAAAAATGGTCCGCTAGCTCAGGCTAACTCCGCTTAGAGGGCGCACTGGCTCCGAGGTGGGCTCGGTGAACACAACGGAGGGGGAAAGCCGACGCAGAATCTCCACGGGGCGTCCCCAAAACGAGGAACGTGCCCAAGCAGCGGTGCCAAGCGTTCCTCTCTGCCAAGTTCAAGCGACCCGGCTCCGGTCTTTGGGGAGCAGCGACCGCACGCGATTGACTCCGAAAGAGCGGCGAGGGACACGAGGAGGAACTCGGCGCGCCCTGGAGACGGGGTTGGGGGGGGCGTCGTCTGCCTGCCGTGACAGCAGCGAGCTTACGGCCACGGAGGGGGGGGGGACCGGCATCTGCTTCGCCGCGAGCCGCTAACTAATCCCCGATCTGGAGGCATTAAACCTCCGGACGCCGTCTGGACCAGCCGCCGCGCAGATAGCGCACTGACCTGGATGACCGTCTTGAGCGTCGGGGTGTCGACCACGCTGGTGCAGATGAGGGAGTCCGGGTCGTGGGGCGCCTTGTAGACCTGGCCCATGGTGAAGATCATGGGGACGGCGAGGAGGAAGGAGGCCACCCAGATGCCGCTGATGAACTTCTTGGTCCGGCTGCGGGACATGATGCTCTTGGCCTTGAAGGGGTGGCAGATGGCCATGTAGCGCTCGACGCTCAGGCTGGCGATGTTGAGGGCCGTGGCGTAGGCGCAGGCGTCGCGGAGGAAGTAGTAGCCCTTGCAGAGGTCGTTGCCGAAGGCCCAGGGGTGGTGGACCCAGATGAAGTTGTACAGCTCGACCGGCATGCAGAGGAGGAAGATGAGCAGGTCGGAGGCGGCCAGGCTGGCCAGGTGGTAGTGCACCGTGCTCTGGAGGTTCTGCAGCGACTTCTTCCGCACCAGCGTGTAGGCGGTGATGGCGTTGCCCACCGTCCCCACCACGAAGAGCGACAGGTAGACCAGCGTGACCGTCACCTTGGAGTAGATGTCCGTGTGGACGTCCAGGTCCTCCTCGTCCGGCAGCCGCGGGGCGGCCTCCGAGCCGTTGGAGACGTTCCCGCCCGCCGCCGCCGGGGCCGCGGAGCCGGTGGGCTGGAAGTAGAACTGGCCCATCAGGTACTCCAGCTGGGACAGCGAGGAAGTCGTGTTGGGGGCCATGCTGTCTTCCCGGACGCCGGGCGGGCGCCCTCCTCCCGCGCGGGACGAAGAGGCTCCCCGAAAGATGCCGCCGCTCCGATGGCTACCCGGCGTCGGAGGAGGAGGAAGAGGCTGTCCGGGAGCCGACGGGGTGTCCGGCGCGCCGGCGCTGCTGCTAGGGCGAGCGAGCGCAAAGCTGCCACGGGAGGGAAGGAAAACCCCGAAGTGGAAACTTGTCTGGTTTGCAAACAAGGGCGGAGGAGGAGCCTGCAGAGCGGGCGAGCCCCCCTCTCTCTTTCTCTCTCTCTCTCTCTGTGTGCGAGAGGCAGAGAGAGAAGAGGGACCTCTCCAGCCAGCTGCCTGCCTCCGACGCGTCTTCACGGAAAGCCCTCCGCGGTTTGGGGTGGCCGCCGCGCCTCTGAGCCAGCCGGAGACTCGCGCATCTTTTTGTGCGCCTGCCCTCCCCGGCCCCCGCGCTCCCCGCGCCTCATCCTTTTCGGCTCTCTCTCCAGATGCTGAATAGCGCTAATAGGGTTTAGCAGGACACTAATCTCGCTCTCGCTCTCCCCCCCCCACCCCCTCTCTCATTTCTCTCATTCCCCAGGATGAGAGAGAGAGAGTGAGCGTGATGGAGAAAGAATTGGCAGTTCTGCGCCCAGCCCCCTTTGCACAGCACATGCCTGCTGGCAAAAGAAGGATAATGTCCTTAAGATCTTATTTAGGTTTTGATGCTTCCTTTCGTTCAGGGAGGGGGGGGGGACACACACAGCCTACTTGAGCATTCCAGCTTCCATCTCAGGCAGAAGAGCTTGGGGAAAAAAAGGGTTTGGATCTCGGGAGCAATGCTCCCTCTAAGCTGAGGAGTCTTGTGAGCAAAAATTCTACTTTGTGAGCTACTGGCATTAAAGTTGTGAGCAGGTAATTTGGCTACAGCATCAATTAGTTTGCTCTGGAGCCCTCCTTCCTGAGCTAAGACAAAAATGAGTGAGCCAGAGGCTAAAAAACTGTGAGCTAGCTCACACTAACTCGGCTTAGAGGGGACACTGCTCGGGAGCCTAGGCAGGGTTGGGGGTGTTCTTAGCCTGGATCGCTCGAAATCTGGACTCTACAGGAGGTGGTGGCCAGTGTTCCCTCTAAGCTGAGTTAGTGTGAGCTCGCTCACAGTTTTAGCCTCCGGCTCACACATTTTGGTCTTCGCTCAGGAAGGAGGGCTCCAGAGCAAATTAATTTATGCAGGAGCCAAATCGCTCGCTCACAACTTGAATGCCGGTAGCTCATACAGCAGAATTTTTTGTTCACAAGACTCCACAGCTTAGAGGGAGCATTGGTGGCGGCGGCTACGAACATGGACAGCTTCAAGAGGGGACTAGATAAGCATATGGAACAGAGGTCCATCAGTGGCTATTAGCCACAAGGTACAGATAGGAACTCTCGGTCTGGGGCAAGGGATGCTCTGTATTCTTGGTCAGGGCCGGCACACTCACTAGGTGAATTAGGCGATCGCCTAGAGCGGGCTGGCCCTTAGGCGCGCCAAACTGTACCTGGCCCGTACTCTGGGATTTTCTTGATTATTTGTGTTTTTCATTCTTCCTAAAATGCATTTATTTTTGAAAATTGGGGGGCGCACGGGGGGGGGGT